TGGTTATAAATGGGATCGATAGGTCTTTATTCAGAGTTTAATGAGATTCACACCTCTTGAGCTGTAATGTGAATCCATCAAATAGAAATGAATTTTAGAAGCGGCAATTTGTGAATGAGAAGACTACATTGAATACTATTTGATTTTCTTTTTTTCCCCTAAACACAGGAATCAAATGTTTTTGCAAAGATCAGTATGGTATCAGTTATATACCATCTCTTTACCAAACAGCAGAGAGATCCCATGTGTATTGTGGCACAATTCAGCTTTGCAACATTTCCTTTTATTGTAATCACTTGCTTTTTTGCCAGTTTTTCTATTCCCAGGTAATAAAACGTTTTCTAAATTAAGATGTTTATATTTTAAAATAAAGCACTTTAAAGCACACATTAAACAATTTATGGTAGATAATTTTCTATTAAAGTGTGTGTGTGTGCCACAGACACATTGATTTTTTGTAATTAATAGAAATGACAAAATGACTGGATGCTCATGATTATATAGGTTAGACCAAGTAAAATACCTGTAATTTCATTGTAAAATATGAAAGAACAGCACAAGCCCTCATGCCTGGCATTTTCACTCATTTGTGCTACTGTAGCTCTAGAATAGTGATAGAAACCAGTGGTACTTCAGTGGTACTAAAAAAATTATAATCTGTTACCCTTGATAAGGGCAGAGACACAGCAGAGTACTTCCTTTGTATTTTACAGCAATAACTGGTGTTGTATAGTATCTTCTTCAAATATTTGTTCACAATAGCAAAAATATGTATTTCTTTGCTGGATATAAAGAAATTTTATTCATCCCTGAAATTTTTCAATATCTTTATCTTAAATACCTCTAGTGACAGAAACCAGTGGAAATATGGTGTTTCTAGCCCTGCACATTAGAGCTGAGACGTTGAGCAGCCACTGTGTACTGGTGACTTCAGATCTTTAATTCTGTGTTACGTACTGAGGAAATGTTTCCAGTAGGCATCGACTGATATTATTCTGCTGTCAGACTGGATCAGTTGGTAGTGCATGGTGGTCCACCACCTAAACTCATCCCAGATTTCAGACATTATTTAAATACGTTTTTACAGTGGTATCACCATATTTCATATCTTCTTTCAGATGATCCTGTGTGTGCATTCATTCCAGTTGGACTCAATGACTTGAAAAGTCTTTTCCAATCTAAATGATTCTAAAAATGAGCATAGGCACTCTCTGAAAATGCCATAGAAGTTCTGGGAATGTGTGTACCATCCTGCAGCTCTTAGTTTTTGTCCTTCCAGCCCCAGTATTGTTTGTCTTAAAAGTCTCTATATTGGCTCATTCCTTTCCAACTTTGGTGTACGCTCTGAAAATTTTTGAAAAGCTTTTACTTCTGTTCTTAAAGGAAGGAAGATGGCTTCCATCCACCCTATGCTTTGCAAGGGATGAAGACCATGGACCCTAGCAGTAGGCACAGACTCCTGCTCTCCAGGGAATTAACTGGAGTTGAGGATTCAAACAGGACAGCTGTCTTTAGGAGGAGGTGTGTGGTCAGCACTAGTTCTGTTCCACCAGAATGAACTGAGGTGGATGAGCTTATGCAGAGCAGTCAGTACTGTTTTTAACTTTGTATTCCTTATATCATCTATCTCTGAACAAGCTGAGCTTCGTTAAAAGTGGTAGTTTAGATACTTGAGGGAGTAGAGCTCTTGCCCTGTGAGGAGAGGGCAAGGCATCTATGTTGTTTCACCCTGGAGAAGAGTCAGCTTTGGGGGGACCTCGTAGCAGCCTTTCTGAATCTGTGAGGAAGCAATTGAGAATCATAGAATCACAGAGAAGATGGAGCCAGGCTCCTCATAGTGGGGCACGGTGAGAGGGTGAGACACAGTGGGCATAAGATGAAACAAGAGAAGTTCAGACTGGATATGGAAAAAGTATTTACCTCATGAGAACAGCCGAGCAGTGGGAGGCTGCCCAGTGAGGCTGTGCATTCTCCAAAAAGGTTTTCAAGATTTGGCTAAGTAAATTCTGAGCAAACTGGTCTAACACTGAAACTGACTCTGCTCTGAATAGGTTGATCTGAGATTCTTTCCTCTGATCTTACAGTTTCCTGATACTTAGCACAGGATGAACAAGTACAGAGGTGAAGGACTGGGAGCAGCTAGAAAAGATAAATGCTGGTGGCTCAGAGGGGTGGTAAAAGATTGGAGAACATCAAGTGAGTGCATGAATATGGATCACTGATCTTTGATATGCTGGAAATGATTCGGTCCTGGCTTAGAGAGCAGTGCATAGTCATCACTTTTATGTACAAGGTTTCCTTTAAGGTTCCAATGTCACAGACAAGTCAGTTTTATTTAATGACCTTCTACATTAGCAGTTCTTTGTACTGGTGACTGAAATTGATTTTGCTTGTGATGTGAAGGAGCACAAGCCCAGCCTCTGCATCATTGCTCAACCATGTGCTTTAGCCCTACCAAAGAATAGGACAACAAATTTCTGAGCATCAGAAATACCCATGTTGAAATTTTTAGGTCCATTATTGATAAAGACTCAGCTGGTTTTTAATCACTGAGTTGCATGGTTGGAAACTGCAGCTTTGTGTTTAAGCCCTGGAAATGTTTTGTTGATATTTTTCTTTTGTAAAGTGACATCACGAAGACCTTTCTTATTTTCTTCAAGCATTTCACAACACAGTCTTCCTCTCTGACCAGAGTAATTACAAAACAATTCATTAGTGGTTTATGTTTATGTTACCATACTGCTTAGATAGATAAGTGTTATGAAGAAAAAGAATAAGAAAAGGGTGAAGGATAAATATGTCAGGGAAATAAGACTGCAAGGAGCACAAGGTTTCATAAAGACTTCAGGTGGAGAATAAAAGGAAGGATCAATAATATCTCACAGGAAGGAGCAAGGACAGACAAAGAGGATGAAAAGAATGTGAAAGCAAAGAGTCTGATGAAACAAGAAGGGAAATATAATTGGCAGTTAACATTTCAAGAAAAAAATAATGAAAATTGAAGGAAATATTATGCAAATTTTGACTTTTACATTTGTAAATGTTTCTTAGTCTAGCAGTGCATGTTTGGCACATATTCTTTATCCTAAACTTTGGAAAATTAGAGAATTTAGTTTAAATTTAAATTGGTGATTAATAAAAGACGTGATCACTAAAGTGCACAAAAAACCATAAGATCATCGAATTAATGCAATTTGAATCAGATTTCCACTATTCTGGCCACACTAGTTTTTGCACCTGATACTTTAGGGACATTCTGGCATTTGAACAAGTCAGTAAACAGACAACTGACAACAATGAGTATCTTCTGTGCAAGCAATTGAAGAACTAAAATTGCAACCTCTCTGTCTTCCAAAATAAGGCTACATATTAGGAGGACATAGAGACTCACCCTTCTGATCTTCTCCAGTGCCTATGTACAGTGGTGGGATCACAGACAACAGACTTCATGTATGACTAGAAGGAAAGACAGGAATGTATTTCAGACTATCCCAAAATACAAAATCAGCTCTGCTGTTACATATTTCTTTTTGTAATATTAATTACAAATGGAGAAGTATCTGATGTCCTGAAAAATCCTTGGAAGTTGTGGATAGCAAAGGTTGAAAGTGTGTTCTGTTGGTTGTTGTTTTGATTGCACTTGGACTACAAAGACATTAATTAAAAAGAAGATGATCTATGGAGGCTCTAGTAGTGTTCCCTTTCTCTACCTGGAGATAAGAGTGAACTGCCGTGGACTTTCTTTGTTCACAGTACATCCTGGAGCTTTATTAGAAAATGCAAAGAGAAGAAATTGCAAAACCAGTTTTGTTTGGATCCACCTACAGCAGAGGCAGAAATAATGTATAATGTCTTATGAAGGTTGCAAAAAGCTTCTGGTGTTGTTCAGAAGCAAGTCTGAACATTTTCCACCTTCTGATCCAAGACAGAGATTTGAACTAGGAGATATGTAAGGACTCTAAATGCCTCTCATCACTAGGACTCCTTGATGTGCTCCTGCCCAGCTGGCACACTCCTTGCTCAGTGACTGACTTTTGCATATCTCACTGGTTTTGTGTCCTACAATAGCCCACCTAGCTGCTTCTCCAAAAATAAGGACCTCCCCTTTATTACTTTGCCCCACTCTGCTGGACTTCTTTTCATTTCTTTTCTTCATGCTTGGAAAAACCTTTCCATCCTAAAGTACAAGCCATAAAGTTTCTCTTCTTTTGCAGTTTTTAATTTTTCTATTTTGAGGGGTATGTTGCTGAATGGGACATGTTTTAGTAATGACAGTTAATTACTACCACCAGTTGATTATTATAATAATAATTACAACATAATTTTTCTAAATTCTGTATGTTATTACCATTTCCCACACTCCTCATGTACTAAGAGGGATGTTTCTCCAGTAGACATCAAGCTTCAGCCAGAGTTAAGTATGCATGCAGTGCATCACTGGTGATATTTAACAGTAATCATGACAGCCTGACATAATATTTTGCAGGCCTTGAAACCTAATATCTGAGGAAGGATTCAAATGATATATACTTCTCTGAGAAAAGTCATAGAAATAGGACTTACTTGGAAGGTTGGATTTATGATGGCTTTCATTCCTGAATTGATTTTTATCCAAGAGACTACTTTTGTAGATCCCTGCCAAGGGAGTTATGGAATAGTGTTGGGAAGATGGTAGGGAGTGTTTATTTCCATATTGACAAATGGATGTTTGTCTTGTGTACAAGAAGGAGTAGCAAAAGGGAAAAGTATGGAGTGTACTTTTCATCTTAGTAAATCATGGGAGAATGTCTCAATAGGTTTTGAACAGTTCAGTTTCTAAAATGTGCTGCCAACATGCTATGTTTGTATGGAAGCACCTAGGCACAGAGCTTCCCAAATGCTTTTGACCTTGAATGAATAACAAACAAATCCTTAAATTGTGAAAATCCAGATACTTATCTTATGCTTTTGTCTTTTTTTTCCTTCATTTTTTTTCTTTTTCCCTCCTTCCTCTTGTCCAGGAAAGAACGTATCAGTCACACAGAAGAAGCAGTAGAGCTCCCAAGGACTGATGAAATGTGCTTTGCCCTGGTGGTGACTGCAGCTGCTACGTTATGTGAAAAAATGAGAAGTTGCCCTAAATTACCATCTGCGACGTTTTAGCCACCTCCTGTAGTGGAAGCTGGTCATGTGGGCCAACCCTATGTGTGGTTTGAGACTGAGTGTCATTTTGCTTTCTTGGGATCTCAGCATTTGCGTTTTAAAGCAATTACCAAGTTAAGCACAATCTCTGTGTTCATGGGTCTGCCTGCATGGGCATGTAGTATCTTCAGCCTCGTATGGCTTTGAGAATTTCTGAAAGAGCCTTTGATCTGAGTTGGGATGTTTAGTATTTCTGAGGGCACATACTTGAGGGTACAAACTGTTTAGCAAATGAGACAGAATGGCATTTTTACAAGGGTAAGTAGGAATTGGGAATGTACTTCACGTGCACTGAGAGGCACTTGGAACATCAAAGTGCTGTGTCCTAATACTCTGAGTATTTCAACCGCATGAATAGGCCACACTAAATTTAACTTTCAGAAAAGGCATTTGCAGGTGTACATGCTTTTCCTGAAATAGGTGTGTTTGTGCACACTGGCTGGTAATAGCACACATGGTGCAAACACATTTTGCAATCACACTGCACACTACAGATTACTCACCCATAACCCCTTACTATTCATCTCCGAGTATCATTTTTGAAGGCAGGGAGATGCGGATGCAGGCGCAAGACTTGTGGATCAGGGGTTGTGTGTGTACATCCATCCATTCTGTAACTAAAGGCACACAGCACTGTTAAGTCAGCGGCAATACTCGTGCTGACCTGAACGGCAGCAGCCATGGGTACTGCTCTCAAACTGCCTCTTATGTTGCGATGCACTTTCAGTTTTGATAACTGTTTTATGACTTGTATTTTCATTTTTATTTTTTTTAATGTTGAGCTAACTGCTAGGATGTGCTGTCTTCGCAATGCTTAGTTGCCCAGCAATTACAGATATACTTCAAAAGGAAGCAGAAGAATAATAAACCGTGGAATCCCAAATCAGATTAATGTAATGTGCATTTCTAGATTACGATTAGTAACAAGATAACACAGTGTCATGGTAACACTTGAAACTTAACTACAAGTTCCTAAAATAAAGCAATGACATATGTATAAGTTTCTATCCATTTGCATACTATCCACCTGAAAACATTTTTACAACACTCGAGCAATTAAACCCTACTTTTTCCTTCTGAATTAAGTGTTGAACTAAAATATCATGCCTCTTTCCTAGTATTTATGCATAATCTCCTACCATAAATTATAAATGTTGATGAAGAAGCTGTCCATTTTGTAGCATCTTAGGCTTTTTGCCTTTTGGTTTCATTTTAGAACAATTAGCATAAGGAATGTAGAACACACTTTATTCTTTGCGATTTGTACCACATTCATGTCCTTGAAATTCTACCACCTCCTAATACGAAAATTGTCTCACTGATACTGGAAAAGTCTGTTTATTAATTAAGTTGATAGACTAGTGGGTGCAATTCATGTGGCTGAGGGTTGGGAATTAAAATCCCAACTTTACCTCAAATCACTGTAAGAGAGGAGTAAACTTTCAATGTGAGATTGCTAGCTAAGATGGAGAGCCTAGCTATTATTTTCTAGTTGCCTTACAGTGAAAAGTGTTGTCTGCTTGTTATAGAGTCTGACTTTCTTTCACTAAGCAGAAGTTAACTTGTTTAATATGCTATCTATGGTAAAGGTGCGAGGATATGCTTTACATGTATTGTCATTTTGTGTTAAACTTTCACAGAATGCAAAATTGGGCACTTTGTTCTGATTGCTTTATATGCACAATACTGCTTTGACCAAATTCTTTAGTCAAAATTAAGATGCTGCAAAGTTCTTTGTAAGTAAATATGATCTTCTTCTGTCACCTTAAATAGATAAAATGGGCAGTGTTACACAGAAAATATTATTTCTTTGGCAGTTCACTTATTTATGTATACTGCACTGTATAGACCATTGGAGGATATTGAAAATATAGCTTACAGGTTGCTCCTTACACAACCTTTAAATCCCAAATTCTGTTCTTCACACCTCTGTGGATGGCAAATGCTGAAAGTAAAATGATTGCCTCCAGCATGATAATCATGTTACATTCAGAATAATACAGTTGCTGGGAAATATTTCATATACACAGCAGAGTTCCTAGGATAAACCTCCTGCTAAGGCATGGCTGATGTTTGTCCTTGTGGCCTTTTGAATAGTGGAAAGTCTGATCTGTATTTAATAAATCTGCCTGTATTTCTCACATGCAGATGAAGGTTTTTAGTATTTGAATTTACTGTTGTTCTGGGGTGGAGGGAGGGACATGTGCATGCTGGGTTTGCCACTAATCCTTTGGAAATCCTTTAGTGCCTTAAGGAGGCAGAGGGGGAACAGACCTTAGGATTACAGAAACTTGTTCAAACCTCTTTCCTGCTTTAGCAGAATTGCTTCAAAATATATTGTGCCTTTGGCTCCAAATATATTTGCATTAGAAATCAGTAGCCATGGGATTATGGACAGGACTTTTTGCCCCTGTACAAATGTTAGGAAAGAGAGCATACTGTTTCTTATATAGGATGTGAATTAAAAATGTAGCTAACTTAAATTCTACTGTTGAGATCCATGAATACTAGGAAAGTTGCAAGTTGCAGTTAAAGCTAGAAAAAAAAAAAGGAAAAAAAAAGGAGAAAGTTTAAATATACTAGATGAAATGCTTGTACCACTGAAGTGACTGGCAAATTTCCACTTGCTTCCCTGGGACCAATATTTCATGCTTGCTTCTACTTGTCTTAATAAATTCTCACAAGTGATAGACACATGATCATCATGCTCTCTTTAACATTGTTTATGCACATAAGGGAAGAAAAGAGAGATTAGTAGTTGTGGAGACCTGCCTTGATTTGGAGTTGTTTGGATCTATGGTATAAATCTCTGTTCACTGTTGTTTCTCTGTGTAACATAGACTATTTGCTATGGGCATATGAATATTCAAATGTAAATTCCAGTGTGAGAGGTTACTGTGCAGTGTGCACTAACCAATGCCAAACAACTACATTTCTCTACTCTCTGAACCTTGGTCTTTTTGAAAAAGAGGGAAAATGTAGCTAACAGATGAAAACCACTCCTGTGCCAAAAAAGCTTGCATGAGGCAATTCATGTACTCCCTGATGGTCCTAAGCAGCTCTTAGGAAAAATTGAATAAGCTTTTAGCTCATGAGTGAATTTTATCTTCTAGGAAATAAGAGCAATTTGCTAAAAAAAAAAAAAAAAAGAAGAACTAAAAAAAATGAAGGCCCGAAAATCAGACTGGTGGTGGTCTTCTGTTTTGCTCCCTGGGATGACAAGCAAGTATTAAAGAATATGTAAATAGTTTAAAGAAAATATTACATGGCTCGCAGTATGTGAGACAAGGCCCAGCATGGAACAGATTTTTATAGCTTATTTATAAATTACACTTCTGCCTTTTGTTTGGAACTTGGAAAAGAAAACAGTGTAAATCAAGGAGTGAAGACTTACTGCACATATTTGTTGACTGAAACAAAAATATTTCTCCACCTCCTGAGGTATTAAGGAGTAATTTGGGATGAATAATGTACAGAGTTCTTGGCTTTTGAGCTCTAGTGCTGTACAACTATTTAACTCTGCAAAGCCAACAGAGGGATGGTAACCAGAAGTCATGAAGATCAGTTTTTAGGGCCACAAATTCATATAACAAGATACCAAAGAATGCACAAAAAGGCTGATGTTTATGGTGTGATACTTATTAAGCAGGTGTACCAGCTAGACTGGGGAGGGAGGGATATTTGTAAATAAATGCAAAAAGGTTTAAACTCTGACCCATGACCACTCTGTAACTGGGTGTCAAATTAATTTCAGCTAAGTGAGAAGCTTCAATAGTATGAAAGAGGCCACTCATATTTTAACTTCCATTAAAACCTTCTGGGTAACTTTTCAGCAAAGTTTTCCACTCTAAGACATTTGTCATTAATATCAACTGTACATATGTATTCATTTTCATTGTAAGTAGGGACAATACAGAATTGTAATGAAGTCACAAAGTCTACTTGATGATTATCACAGATTTGTAACTCTCACTTAAATTATGTAAGATACGTTGACATTTTATCTTGTTAACAAGATGTATTTTTCTATGTTAGTCAAATGTACAATTTGTACAATTTTGTATATTAAATGTATGCATATTTTAAATTAAAAACTTCATAATTTTATTATTTTATTATTTTAAAATGGTGACAAGAACTTCTGAGAGACAGCTGTAAATATAACTGTATCCATGGATAGCAACCCATGAATTCTCAGTTTTGAGAAAGGGGTCAGCTGGTCTTCTAACAGAGTAAGAAAACTGCAACACCTGGGTCTTGCTCCACTTGGTGGATGAGCTGCCATTCAACTTCAGCTGATTTAATGGAATGAACATGAATTAGCAGAATACTATAAACTGGATCACTGCTCAGAAAGTGGGTAACCAGAGCCTTCCCCAGCTTGTAGTGTTTTGTATCCACAGTTCCTACATGCCAGGAGACAGTCCAAATCACCAATCCATGGGACAGGGTTTTGTGGGGGAGGGCAACACTGCTGGCGGAGATACACCAGTCACGCAGAGGAGAGAGGGAGACTCAGTGACTTGGCTGCTCAAGTCACTCTTCTGGGAGAAAGAAAGCTTTTGTCTCTGTCACACTCACTCCCTTTGAACTGTTCATGGTTTTTTTGTCTGCTGATTGTTTCAAAATGCAGAATAGCAAAAACAGATGCAAAATGTACATTGCATATTCTCTGAGCCCCCGCACCAGGCAAGTCCTGTTCTAGCTCGTGATGTTCACACTGTTGCAAGAAGAGCTCCAGATACAACTAAAGCCAAGCCAGTATGTGAGATCTTTTGTTGTGTGCAGCAAGCATACCTCTAGCTTTTTTGCTGTCTCTCATCTAGGCTATTTGGAATAAAGGTCCTTTAGGAAGAGGGTGCACTTTCAATCAGGTTCAGTTCTTTTTTCATCAAGCAAGGTCAAGACAGGATGGGATGCACTGTCTGCAAGAGAATATACCAAAGCAATGTATTCCTCCAAAGTTGCATACTTTTTTTTAGGCAAACTCACAGGGTGACAGGGTATCAGGTACTGGGTCTGCTTCCATAGTACCTAAAACTGCAATTTTACTCAACTTAAGGACAGTATGTATCTGCTGTGTTAGAACACTTAGTTTTTAATAAACTAAGGGCTAAAGTATGAAAAAAAAACCCAGACAAAAACGCCAAACAAAACAAAACAACACAACCGTTTAAAAGTAAAGAAAGACACTGGTACGATTCTATGCTTCCTTGTAACTAGAAAGTTTAATGCTGTTTTCTTAAGCATTGATTTGACATGCTCTCTGAGTCTTGTGGTCTCTTTATGTATCAGCATTAAGATGAATGTCCTAACTTAATACTGCAAAAATAGCTTTATTCTTTTTTATTCAGAAAAACTTGAGCAGCTTTAGAAACCTGAACAATGTTATCTAAATAGATTCCAAGTGTAAACAGAGTCCATCTTTCTTAGCTTTATGGATGTTAAATAACAGATACTCTTTATTTGGCAGACACATGTACTATGTGCAACATATGGGACCTACTATAGGACCATCAGAAGTTTTTATTCTGGAGGTTGAAAGTAATCTCTTGATTGCAAAGAAGTAACTCATAAAATAAATAATTTTTCCAATATTTGTGAAGACAGGCAGGTCACACATCACACTCCATGTGCCACCTGCATATTTCACTAACTGTCAGGGTTTGGTGTACTGTGGAGAAACAAATTGACTTTCTTTTTTTTCCAAAATGATCAATAAATCTCAATGTTACCATCAGGAACAAAAAAAAATCAATATTTGCCCACATACAAGAGAAGACTTTAAGGAAGTAACAATGCAATATCCTACAAGCTATACTTATTTTTTCACATACCAGTGAAACCTCCATATGATATTAATGCATTAATGTGGAAGTATGTTTTATTAAGTGAGCTGTGGAATCTTGGGCAATATATTCTCAGAAATGTCAGTCATGATTAAAATCAGTGTGTTAATAACCAATAATAAGTGAAATTTTTACTGATTTCCGAACTCCCCTCATGTGAACAACACCCACAGTGTTAAATGCACACACAGAGCATTCAAGACAGCATGTACCTCTGCATTATAACAAATGCAGAAAAGAAAGATGTTTTCCTTTGATGCATTTTTCCAATGCTCAGCTATCTCACATTACTGCTTTTTCACATGGTCTGGGTCCATGGGTACTTGTTAATGAGAAAGATGGTTATGTGGACTCACTTCTGATGAAATCCCAGGGACCTCTGTCTTTACCTCCCACTTTTCCTGATTTGTAGCTTGCAATTTTTATTGTGCAAGGACCACCAGGTACACAGACAACAGTCCTGTGTGGCTGGGCTTGTATTCAAACAGCATAAGCATGTTGTACATGAGCAGTAAATAGGCCTTGTGATTGATCCACTAAGCTTCAAATTTGCTTTGTCACGTAATTAATCTCAGAACAGTTTCTTCCAATATATTATTTCAGAGGAACAGAAAATGTCCCTTATGTAACTCCTGGGGTAGTCTAAGGCTGTGACAATTGCCTGAGATTGGCTGCATGTGCAGGAGAGGAGTGTCCAAGGACTTGTGATTTCGGTCGATGATCTCCTTGGGCACTGTTAGACAGGTAGGTGTATAAATACGGACTTTCTGAAGTGGGCTGTGCAGAGACCTGAGGGTTACACACTCTCCACCCCTCCTGCTTTAAAAAAAAAAACCCTCTTAGTTTTTGGGAACTTGCATCCCTCACAGCGAAACGAAAGCCCGCCCCCGGCCTGCCTCTCTTTGCCGAGGCCAAAGCCAGGCAGGAGCCGGCGAGGGCTGCCGGCCCGGGGAGCCGCCCGGGGTGCTGAAGGGACAGCTCCGGGGGCGCGCCAGGCTCCCGCCGCGCCGAGGGGGGGTCGCGGAGCCACGGTCGCCTCCCCGCCCTCCGCGGGGCTCGGCGGACACCTCCTGCCTCACATGACGCCCCCTGCCCCACAGGACACTCGTTGCCCCTCGGGGCTCGGCGGGGCGGCGCGCCGGCTACTCTGGGTCCGCGGGCCGCACACTCAGGCCCGCGGAGCCACCGCCCCCCGGCGCCCCCCGCCCGATGGCGGGGCCGGCGGCTCAGGCAGCGCTCGGCGCGATCACTTCCGTGTCAGGGCAGGCACCCGCCGCCCTGGCCGCTGCCTGCACCCTGCACCCTCCACCCTGCTGCCTGCACCCTGCACCCTGCTGCCCGCACCCAGCTGCCTCCGCCCTGCTGCCCGCTGCCTGCGCGCCCAACCCACGTCGCCGCAGCGGGGGAGCGGCAGCCGGGGGCGGCGGGGCGGAGCAGAGCCGCCACCACCCCTGCGGGCAGCAGCTGCTGCGGCAGGGACAGCGCCAGCCCTACTGCCCGGGGGCCTGGGGCTGGTGGTGCTTCCTCCTCGACTCCGGCCACCCCTCTCTCCTCTCCCCGCCGCTCCCCCTTCGGCCGCCGACTGAAGCAGGCCCGCCCCCCGGCCGCACCGGGGGCTGCCGCGGCCGCGCCCCCCCGCCCCGCCCGGGCAGCGCCGCAGCCTCTCCCGCGGATGGGGGCGGGGGCAGTGTCAGTGTGCAAAGTGGGAGAAACTCCCTCCGGCTCGCTCGGGGGGACTGGGAAAGATTTGTAGCTTTTGTAGCTTTTCTCTTTTTTTTGTCTTTTTTTTTTTTTCTTCTCTCGCCCGAAGCCACGCCATCAGCAGGTGACCGGCGCCCGCCCGCCCGCAGGACGGGACCCCATTGGCACCGGCTGTGTGTGCATACGGCGGGCGCCCTCCCTGCCTCCTCCCCCTGCCTCCCGCCCCCCGGATCATTCTATACCGGGGGAGCTGTGCACTGCGGTCCCTGCTCGGGGAATCGCTGCTGCTCTTCCCATTCGTCAGGGGCTTTCCAATCACCTGCCTCTGCCACCCTCTCCGCTCCGCTCTTTGTACTTTATTTTCACGTGCTCTTTACTAACACGGCTATTTTTAAATTCCGCTCGGATTTATTTTTCTCTCTTTCTTTCTCTCTAATTTTTCTTTTTTTTTTTTTTTTTTTTTTTTTTCCAGGGGGTGGGAGGGGAGAGGGAGGTTAACGTTTGCATCTCCCTAAGGGAAAGATCCCACCAGCCAACCCAGCTTCGCCACTGCTGCATCCATCCATTCATTTTTATGGTCACTAACAGCCTATCCCGGTAGTGGAAGGTGCAGAG